GGACCTTTAATACCAAAGACTGTTATTAGATGAATTGAGTCATATTGCTCCAAGCCTATAGCACTTCTCACATTCTCTCATCGTCGGTAGCCACCTCTTTGGAGAAGGCTCATTCCGGTCATCTTATCCACAAGGGGTGCAGGACAAAGTCAATGCGCTGTGAGAGTCGTATGGCTTTTAATAGGGCTAGTTTTATCTAATTGATAATTTGCCACACTGCCTTGTCGACGGCGATTCCCTACAGCCCTCCCTACAGCCCAGCCTACGCCACTTTTTTTGCCGCAGTCTCTTGGTCGACAACAGAAAACAAGTTATTCGTCACCCCTCTAAAATAGCCAGCGCACCGAAGTTGATAAAGTAGCCAGAACACCATCATCACGTAGGCTGTTGCCGTGGTGAGAGCAAACATGTCCAGTTCTGCGGCAGCGGCGGACGCCAGGTCCTGAACCTTGAAAAATTCATGAACTTGCTCCCTTGACACCAGCATTAATACCAAGCCAAGTCCATACGAAGCCGTCATAGTAACACGCTGAAGAGAAATAGTAGAAGAAACAATAGTATGAAGAACAGCCCATTTCTGATGTTGGACAAAATCCCTTGCCCTTGCTGTTGTAGCCGTTTTATATAACGTGAAGTAATATGGGGGAGCCAGCAACCAGAGTGTCAATTCAAAGGTTGGCCACGGGATGGGTGACAAGCCGTCGAGGTCGTGGAGGTGGTAGCGGTTTACGTGGGAATAAGCATGCTTGCTGACGAGGAACCAGTATCCAGAGAGACTGAGTATGAAAGAAAACGTGATGATGATGTAGCCGGCTGAACGGTGGAATTTTGGATACTTTTTGCGGAAGCTGTTATTGTGTTGCAGAGGCATAAGGATGCTCCATAGAATAGCTGGAGCGGCGTGCAAGCCTTTGTATATCCATGCCGGGACCGTCTTGTGCCGAAAGTCCAAGAAATGCTCTCCGGTCTAAGAGAAGGTGAGCACAATGGACGTTTCCCCTCGTTCACCCAGTAGTTGGAGTGTTGGAGAACTAACCTCTGGAAGCCGGGACGTGGTAAATAACGGGGGCTTCTGGCCAAATATTGCTGCTACCGGTGTTCCTGTAAAGGTAAATGTGGCAAAGATGATCATCAATACGCCGAGAGGAATAATAATGTTTTGGGACACGTGAAGAGGGCGTTCAAAAGCCATCTTGGTGCGTGCTGTCTACGGCTTGGTTCACGCCTGGGGAGTCGTATTCCATTAAAAGAAGAATGCTTGATTACATGATGGGTGCAATGATGTATTACTTATATGCGTGGAAGTGGTGTAGTCTTTGGAACGGTTGGTTGGGCATTACCATTTTCAAACCAGCTTGCGAATTGGTCCAAACTCTAGTAGGGAAGATCTACAAGGATCTGGAGAAACGGCTGTGCAAACAGAGCTAGGCTCAAAATACAATTAATTACCTATATTCTCCATGTGAAAATGCAGGCGTTGGGTTGAATACTAAAATAACAAGCCGGAGCTGATTACGTTGGCCACGACGAACCATTACTACAGCCACACGCGCACCGGAACGGACGATGATATAAACCGGCCTCCGCTCTGCTGCCTTTCCAGACTTCCGGTCGCTCTCGAGCTAACTCTGGTTTGGTATGTGGGGTAGCCGATCAATCCAATACCTGTGCAGGTATTAAGAAATTAAGAAACCCACGATCGCCTCAAGTGGCCAGTTCTTCAGGTCATAGCTAATGTCACACGTGGTCGCACAGGGGCTACGATCACGGGGTCTAGGGCAGAAGACCCTTACCGACTTCTTGTATTTTTAGACCTCTTTGGTCAATAAGGCCTTGACAAAAGCCAAAGACATTTGATACCAAAGACTGTTATAAAATGAATTGATCCATTGCTCCAAGCCTTGCATCCTTGTCACAGCAGAAGAAGTTGGCTGGGCCTCAGGGGAAGTATAAGCGATACAGAAGATGAAATGTTCTTGCACCGAATCTCTATACTTGTAACCAGATGTCTGCATAAAAACGTGTATAATTGCTTCAAGGCTCAACTAGATAGCTAATAGAATAGCATGTGTCATAATTGCCCGACCCACGGTGGTTCTGCCCGTTGCACTCAACAATCCCAATGTCCAAGGGGTGGCGTAGTAGTTTCCATGTATATAAATCCTCATATCAATGGTATAGTGGCCGTGTTCACATAGTCGATATTATCGCTCTGGCACTCGATGCGCGGTGCACAGGTGCCAAAGACGCGATCCCATACACGAGTCTGCTTGCCGTAATTATGGCTCTTCTTCCAGCCCGACCGGTGATGAAGATCGTGGTCCTCCAAGAGCAATTCGGCATCGAACATCTTCAACAGCCAGGTCATGGTTGATGGTGGCGACAGGGAGAGGCGAAGTCCCGAATGGCCGAGAATCTCAGTAAAGAAGATGAACATGTGGCACACCCATAATTCGTAGAAGCCCATCGGCATACCCATGGCCTTCATAGCTGCAAATGCCAGTAGGGGGCTGCCCACGATATCAAAAATCTCCTGCTCCGTGTCCGCGTACAGCGTTAACAGCGGATTAGGATGCTTTGTGAGGTGATGAGTGCGATGGAATTGCCACAGGGCATTCACCTCATGCATGAGGCGGTGGTACCAGTAAAACCAGAAATCCAGGATAACGGGATAGACGCCAATCTCGACAGGGAGCCACTTCCAATTGATATCGCTGGGCTCGTGACTGGACCGGTATGCTAGGACGATTAGGAGCAGGGAGCGGAAGGTAGTGGCCGATGTGAGTGAGAAGAAGACCTTTGCGACGCCAACATCGGGGACTCCATCTCGTGCGTGCTTATCACCATCTAGAAATCCGTACGTGATCCCCATTCGACCAAAGACGCGCACGGCGTGGATGGAGGTTAACGTCATGGCCACATTGTAGAAGAAGTAAGCAGCAACAGCGTGCATGTTGCGGCCAGTGTAGTATACGTAGGCATGATGCAGCGCAATTGGCATAAAGGCATAGAAGAGAACCCATCTGGTCAAGTGCCAGTTTGGCAGGTGAGGAACCTTTTCGCTCTTTGAATGTACCGGGGGCTTTGTGTCAAGCGAAATTGGATGAAGGCCCAGTCGATCAAGAAAATGGTGATATATAGTCCATTCTGAACGAGGAGATTGTGCCCAAGTAGACTTCATCGAGTCCTTGGGGTTGCGTTGGAATTGTGCCATGGTGATCCGATGTGCTTTTGCTGAGGCGCGTCCTGGGACATTGGCGAGGGTGACTGTGCCGCCTTAAATAAGGTCAACTGGTCGCTCGGAGAATTACAGGGCAGGCATGCCAATAAAACACCGGACCGCCGCATGGCTATGCGTCGTATTTACGTTTGTAACGCCTGTGCGGCAGTTGATCAAAGACTCAAAACAGACCGTCGACGGTACACGTAGACCCTCGGACGAATTTTACCTCCGCCCGGAGCGCTGGATAGGCAGTACCAAGGGCCAACGGTGGATACTGTCAACATGCCAGACATGGACCAGACACTTTGATCATATCTCCTAGGGGGAACCCCTTTCGCCAGCAGCGGCAAACCAACTGTGACGAGTTGCGGGGGCCAAGTTCCTCTGCCATGTTCACGGGATATCGAACTTGGCCAAGGAGTTGCCCATCGAAGCAACATGGAGGGCATTCTAGACGAGTGGGTCATTTCCATCCATGTTCCATCGGGTCTGGATGTCTGGTTACATACCACATGCAAGGTAGTGTGTAGTCTAGTCATCAATCCGAGGACAACGGAAGCACGTGCCAAAAGGCATCAATCCGTCGGGCCGTTCCCCGACGGATATGGAATATCCGCCGCCTCCGGTCACAAACAGCCTCCAAGTCCAAGGGCCGCGTCTGTATACATTAAACAAACAAGCCTACCTATTGTCTTTGTAGGGTGACATGGAAGAAGGATGAGGTCAACTGGTGTAAATAAACTTACGATACCGAGTTGATATGTTATCACGGCCATCGCGCCAAAGCTCTAGGCCCTTTACATCCGGACCCATAATCAATTAGACGTAATCCATGAAGCTAGAAAAATGTATTACCCGTTAGCGACTTAATTTTTTTTTTCTCAGCGAGGCTATAACGACTAGACTGGACAACTCCGCGGGCTGGCTTGTAAGACCACCATCACGAAAATAGTTACCTGGATTATAACCAGGTACCACGCAACAAAAACGGACTGAACGCCTAGTATATGCACCAGATAGATGCCGGCCAATAGGAGGTCAATTTGAATCGTGCTACCCTACACTTTTTACAATACAGCATTGGATCATGACGGGATACAATCAGAACATTCATCAAACCAAGCTAAGTAGGGTCCAGATGGCGTGCTCAAGAACTACTAGTACTGGCGATTTTATTTACCGCACTTCCCGTGACTTGATCATTAATCGTGATTAGCTTGTAATGTACTTAAAGACCTAAAATAATCAAGGCAATATATATAAATAATCGTAATCTTATCATAGTACTCACTCGTGGAGCCGCTCTTAACGTATGCGCAGTCTGCATAAAAGAGCACATTACGTTTAGTAAACCGAGGTTGGTAGGCAGAAGGCTTTAGTCCCCTTTAGAGCAGTGAGTAGCCACTTGTGGATTAACCACCAGCCAAACTATCAGGACTAGTCACGGCAGGCTTGAGATTCTACATGGCATTAGGGGCTATAGTTATTGCATCATCGAGGCTATGAGACTAAGACAAACAAGCTTGGTATCGGGTCCAACAGCAAGGCCGCTAAATTCAACAGCGTCAATCAGTCAAGCCCGGTGGTCGAGTCGAGCGGTTACTACGAGCAGTTTTCCTCCGGTAATAAGATAACTTCTATTCAACTACCAACGTTCTCCGTAACGAGCAGCTTCGTTTCGACAGCTTCCCCTACATACAGAGTTAGTACAAGGGCCATACAAGCAGCCTTCTACTAACGATATATGCCGCCCGATAACCTCCCCCCGAGGCCACTTTTAAATAATATTATGCTCATACGCTATTGAAAAGGCGTCCGAGTAGCCGGTTATCCAATCAGACTCGTTCACAGCGTCTCCATAGGGAGTGAGGGTGCTCAGGACAACACTGTACTGGCCGGGAGGGGCGTATGTGCCGTTAGCCATTAGACCATTCCATAGGCCGAGAGATATTCTATGGTCGCGGGTGGGCCATTTCTCGGGGAAGCCTGGGACTTGACCAATGGACTTGAAGCCAGCAAATTCGGTGGCGAGGCTATCCGGCACGCAATACTTGGACGGCTCTGGGAGTTCGGGGTTGGAAATGCTTGGGTTAACATCGGAGCAGAAGAACTTTGGGACGATGTCGAGGCGCACTCGGGAAGAGCCGATGCCCAGGTAAAGTTGGAAGAGGAGTTCTTTTACATCTTTCCCGGCATACTTCTTTTTGATGAATTTGGACGAGCCGGGCTTTTCTCCGGTTATTGGATCTCTAAAGACGAATGATTCGGTCCCGGGCTTGACGCGGTAGTACGAGCCGTTGGTTCCCGCAAAGTGACTGAGGTGTGGGAAAGGAGGGTACTCGCGAGCAGCCGAGCGGAGAGAGCCGGCGAGGCCAAGAAAGGGGATGGTTAAGACGGTAGAATCAGAGCCATTAATCGATATCCAACCAGACCAGATGGGTAAACGCACCGGGTCAAGGCCGGACGGGTCACTAGCTGACACATCAATGGTCCCCGACTCCCCCGGTTGAAGGGTGATGGAGCTTTGGCTCAGCTTTATGTCGGCTGTAGCCTGGACAGGCTCTGGATTCTTCATTGGCTCGTGATTAGTCTTGTTCCCCAGCGGCGCCCGCTTAGCAGCGTACAAGGTGGCGGCATGGATAGGGGAGAGCCGATACGTCACTTCCGACTGGGCGGTGTTAGTGATGCTGAGGCGAATCGTGCTGACTCGGTGGTCGGTATCGTTGAATGCCAAATGCGACGGCTGGACGAGAGTAGTCGCGTGAGCGGCATCCCAGGCGCTTATAAGACCGCCGCCTTGCTTGGCGACTGTGACGAGCCCAGCACCGCTTGCGTCTTGCTGCGGCTTGGCCGTCGATACAAGGCGGCTAGCCATCATGGACCAGTCCAGGTTCTTCCCAAGCGCCTCGGCGACGACGGCTGCAACTCCCGCAGCGAATGGTGCGGCAATCGATGTGCCGTTGCTGAGCTCGTATCCGCCGCCCACTTTGGGAGTTGGGACATCGAGGCCGGGGGCGCCCAGGCTAGGCTTGATATCGAGATCCCACGTTGGTCCATAGGATGACCAGTCCAGTGTATTGAAGCTTCTGGAGAAGGCGCCAACTGATATCACGCCCCGGCCTGCCGAGCAGGGTGGCGATCAACTCAA